GTGTGTGTGTGTGTGTGTGTGTGTGTGTGTGTGTGTGTGTGTGTGTGTGTGACAGTCCTCATCAGGTTGCTCCTCCCTCCTGTACAGATCAGATATAAAACCATCCCCTCTCCTCTCAGCTCCAGTTCAAAGCTCACCAGTAGAAGCTTGTGGGAATGCAGTTTCTATTTTTCCTCCCACACACTTATTGACGTGTTGAGGTCTTCAGATGCCTGCTGCACGGCTGTGTAAAGCTGCAGGTGTGACAGCATGTCTTGGTTCAGRGTGAACACCAGTAACAGCAGTGTCGTGGAGGGGTCCCTGCCGGAAGAGGAGCCCCGGGATGAGCGCCTGGCTCGGGTGGAAATAACTCTCCTGTCCATCATCTTCATCTCGGCGGCGCTCCTGAACTTTGGGCTCCTGTCGGTGCTGTGGAGACGGAGGAAGCAGCTCTCCAGGATGCGCGTCTTCGTCTTCCACCTGTGCGTCGCGGACCTGGTGGTGACGTTCTTCCAAGTTTGCCCGCAGCTCGTGTGGGACATCACCGACAGGTTCATCGGTCCGGACGTGCTGTGCCGTGCGGTGAAGTACCTCCAGGTGGTCGGGATGTTCTCCTCCACCTACATGATCGTAGTGATGACCATCGACCGGTACCAGGCCGTCTGTAACCCCATGGTGACGTTCCAGCGGAGGAGAGCGCGCTGGAACGGCTCGGTGTGCACCGCCTGGTGCGTCTCCCTCATCGGCAGCCTCCCGCAGGTCTTCATCTTCTCTCAGGTGGAGGTGGCTCCCGGCGTGTACGACTGCTGGGCTCGGTTCATCAAGCCGTGGGGACCGAGAGCCTACGTCACCTGGACCACTCTGGTGATCTTCGTCGTGCCGGTTCTGACGGTGATCGTGTGCCAGGTGCGCATCTGTCGCGCGGTGCACACCGGCTTCCACATGAAGACGCAGCCCGCCGGAGAGGCCGCCTGTAAGCCGCTGTCCTCCCGGGCCAGCAGCGTGGCTGGGCTGTCCAAGGCCAGGGTGAAGACGGTGAAGATGACCGTGGTCATCGTGCTGGCCTACATCATCTGCTGGGCGCCTTTCTTCACCGTGCAGCTGTGGTCTGTGTGGGACGACGACGCACCAACCGAGTGTAAGAAAACACAGCAGGCTGAGGGAAAGGTGACAGAAAAGCACTGATCTGACAGGAATCATTTTAAATCAGCAGCTTCAAGTTAATCTGTCAGTCTGGGAAATGATGCATTTTTGTTCATTTCAGTTAAAAACAAAACAAATGTTTAAAAATCGCAAGTAAAATGCAAGGCAGCAGGAAGAAGAAAAATTTCTTACAGTCCATCCGCCCCTATTTTCCATTCATATATATAT